ATGGGCTTCACACATTGTGCCCATGTGGGGAATCGAACCCGGGTGTTTGGCGTGATGAGCCAACACTTTAACCACTAGACTACCCCGCCGCCCCGATTTCAGAGGAGGAGAGAACCTAAATACTCCATTCTTGTCCTACTTTAGGATACCATGCAGACTGAGTGAGTATAGTTTTACACCTCACTAAGCAATATTCCAACTACATGTTGGTGGTCTGTAAATAATCAAGTCTGGACCAGACAATCCAGCGATCAACAGCATGAGCATCGATCTAAGCAAATGGGATATGGTGACATGTAATCAGCAAGTCTGATCGCCCTATCCCATTACCCACCTCTTACGACAAGCATGGGTTACTGAGGACCAATTCTAACCTGGATCTTCACGGGTTGATACCAGGGCAGAATAGATCTTCGTGTGTAGATTCTGAAACAAAGAAGAACAGGCCCCAGGTTGTCATGTTTGTCTTCAAGTGGAGAATACTTACCCAGTCCTGTTTCCTCCAACAACAATCCTTGGTTGCTAGGGACCAATTGTGCCTCTTTTTGAACAGAATAAACATATGACTATGACATGATATGATTTTATCTTCAACCTAGCTGACATTTCTGTTACTTGTTTATTATTAGGTGCCTCCCTTACCTTACCAGGACATTGTAATCATGGAATATATGTTTAACTATGAAATAATATGCTATATCTTTGCCCCATTCTGAAGTCTTTGTTGTTTTTGTGTGATGAGTTGCCTCCCTTAACCTTGCCAGGATATTGTGATCATGGATTCAGTTCCCAAGTCTCTCTTATCATGATCCTAGGTCTGTCAGCACCCATCCATGTAAGTTTGTTTCTTAGTCTTCAGTGGCGAGCCATAATTCAGCTGAAATATTGTTCAAAGTGGTGTTAAAGTACACTCACTCACACTGCTGAAATATTGCTGATGTGGCGATAAATTTTAACTCATGCACTCACACTTACTGTTGATGCCAACAAGCACAGTGGAGCAGTTTCATTGCAGAATTGGATGAGAAATCTGATAAGATTGAAATTTACGAAAACATACATTCTGGATGCCCTTGATTGCACCATTGTTATTCTGGGATGTCACATGATATATGGCTGAAACATTTCAAGTACATAAGCTCAGATACTGTTGAATGCATGGGATATATCATATATCTCAGTAGGTATTCATTGTGCTTCAGGATGTCTACCAACATAGGGTTGTTAAGTCATTGTTATTCACTAGGTCATAAGTCTTGTTACTTCAGTAAGAGTTGTCATTTTGCCCCTGAGGCAGGGTAATCGAGCAGCTCCTGAATAGGTTTCAGTCTTGCCTGTAGGGAGTCACACTTGGTTACCTGTGTCGGTTTAGCTGCAGGATGTCTCAAGAATGTATGATAACATGGGTACAGGTGTCCAGGAAGTAGAGGTATGTTTGTTGCTTATCAGGTGGTGTTTAGGTTGCTGGCCTGGTTGTGTCGTGTGTTGTGTCATGTTTGTGTTATGTTGTGTCATGTTGAGTTGTGTTTGTGTCATGTGTTAGAGTCATGTATTGGAGTCATGTTTGTGTCGTGTTGGTGTCATGCAGCTAGTTACTATGTTGCTGACATTGTTTAGTGTGTGAGTGGTGATGGGATTTATATAATGGGCAAGTTTGGAGATGATGTTTGAGGATGGATGATAATATTTTATGACAGGGGGTTAAATTTGAGTTTAGAAGATAATATTCGAGGATGGAGGATAATATTTGATGAGAGAGGGTTAAATTTGAGTTTAGAAGATATTTGAGGATGGAGGATAATATTTGATGACAGAGGGTTAAATTTGAGTTTAGATGATAATATTTGAGGATGGAGGATAATATTTGATGACAGGGTTAAATTTGAGTTTAGACGATAATATTGGAGGATGGAGGATAATATTTGATGACAGAGGGTTAAATTTGAGTTTAGAAGATAATATTTGAGGATGGTGGATAATATTTGATGAGAGAGGGTTAAATTTGAGTTTAGACGATAATATTTGAGGATGGAGGATAATATTTGATGACAGAGGGTTAAATTTGAGTTTAGAAGATAATATTTGAGGATGGAGGATAATATTTGATGACAGGGTTAAATTTGAGTTTAGACGATAATATTTGAGGATGGAGGATAATATTTAATGACGGTTAAATTTGAGTTTAGACGATAATATTGGAGGATGGAGGATAATATTTGATGACAGAGGGTTAAATTTGAGTTTAGAAGATAATATTTGAGGATGGAGGATAATATTTGATGACAGGGTTAAATTTGAGTTTAGACGATAATATTTGAGGATGGAGGATAATATTTAATGACGGTTAAATTTGAGTTTAGACGATAATATTGGAGGATGGAGGATAATATTTGATGACAGAAAGTTAAATTTGAGTTTAGAAGATAATATTTGAGGATGGAGGATAATATTTGATGAGAGAGGGTTAAATTTGAGTTTAGATGATAATATTGGAGGATGAAGGATAATATTTGATGACAGAAAGTTAAATTTGAGTTTAGAAGATAATATTTGAGGATGGAGGATAATATTCGATGACAGAGGGTTAAATTTGAGTTTAGACGATAATATTTGAGGATGGAGGATAATATTTGATGACAGAGGGTTAAATTTGAGTTTAGACGATAATATTTGAGGATGGAGGATAATATTTAATGACGGTTAAATTTGAGTTTAGACGATAATATTGGAGGAAGGAGGATAATATTTGATGACAGAAAGTTAAATTTGAGTTTAGAAGATAATATTTGAGGATGGAGGATAATATTTGATGAGAGAGGGTTAAATTTGAGTTTAGATGATAATATTGGAGGATGGAGGATAATATTTGATGACAGAAAGTTAAATTTGAGTTTAGAAGATAATATTTGAGGATGGAGGATAATATTTGATGACAGAGGGTTAAATTTGAGTTTAGAAGATAATACTTGAGGATGGAGGATAATATTTGATGACAGAGGGTTAAATTTGAGTTTAGAAGATAATACTTGAGGATGGAGGATAATATTTGATGACAGAGGGTTAAATTTGAGTTTATAAGATAATATTTGAGGATGGAGGATAATATTTGATGACAGGGTTAAATTTGAGTTTAGACGATAATATTTGAGGATGGAGGATAATATTTGATGACAGGGTTAAATTTGAGTTTAGAAGATAATATTTGAGGATGGAGGATAATATTTTGGTATGGAGTATTAATTGGAATATGGGATAATAAAGGAATATGAAGATAATATTGGAAAGTGTGAAAAGATTGCATGTCATGATAATTGGGAAAATATACTGTGAGCTGGGATAATATTTAAAGATGAAGATAATCTTGGAAGATTGAATAAACAGGGGGATAGAGGATGGATCACGGGTATTCTTAGAAGTCTGGCATACAGACCCTGAAACAAATATATCCAACAAAGCCGTTGTAATTGGTGAGTTTGGGAAAACCCAACCCTGAAGTGCCGCTAAGAATAAACAGCTCTGTCACACATCCCCTGGAAACATAGCACTTTATGGATCTCAAAATCTTGTAGTCTGAAAACATAACCTGCATTGTGAGTTTAAAGATGTCCAGGAGAAATGAATATCCTGTAAAAGCTGAATATTCATGTGAAATATATATTTGTTAAGTGAAAAGTGATAGTCCTTTAGTAGCAGACGGCCAGATGTTGTCTAGGTTGTATGCAGCAATGTATTGATCCCGGTGTTTGTACGATATTGTTGGTGATTGTGTGGGCTGGTGGTGGAACATAAATACATCACACCTTGTTTCTGATCACTGTTGAGAAATGCCGTCTGCTGTCTTGGCTCACGTTCTGTGATGTGGAACCAGATTTTGAGAAAGTTTACTGGTGTTTGTGGTAGGTACGATGTTGTATTCAGGCTTCAGATGGAATGTCCCATATCTTTATGCTTTTGTCATGTAACCCGAGTGTTCAAAAGTAGTGATTTAGTGTTCCCTGATATTGGTATTAGGATGGACTGTCTGCTTGTTCAATGGTAGATCAAGGATTTGAACCTTGTACAACTTCATACGAGAAGATGTTGAAAGATGGTATTCGTTTGGTTATATATTTAAGCTCACACATCTTGATGCTTTGTCATGTAAGCCAAGATAAAAATGAGTGATTTAGTGTTCCCTGATTGCCTCTCTCATGTTATGATTGAGCGTCTGCTTGCACAGTAGAAGGTCAATGAACCCTGGGCAATAATCATATCTTAAGATGTTGAAAGATTCTTTTTGGTGTGACCCTGCATTGAGGGATGTAGCAAGGACTGGTTCTCTTGAAGTCTGTGTCTTTGTCTGTGCATGTCAGGTTGATGTGGTAGGAGAGCCTTCACAACTCCCACCAGTCATCCATGACTCACTCACTCACTACTCACTCACTCACTCACTCACTCACTCACTCACTCACTCACTCACTCACTCACTCACTCACTCACCACTCACTCACTCACTCACTCACTCACTCACTCACTCACCCACCTTCTCACTCACTCACTCACCTCACTCACCCACCTTCTCACTCACTCACTCACTCACTTGGGATTATTCGGTCAGGCTCGCTAACTTGGTTGACACATGTCATCATATCCCAACTGCACAGAACAATGCTAATGATGTCAGTCACTGGATTGTCTGGTCCAGATTCGATTATTTACAGGGTGCCATCATATAGCTGACATATTATTTAGTGCGGCATTCAATAAGAAACGAAGTAACAATCAAACGAATAAGACTGACTCAACTACTCACTTAACAAAAACTAGTTCACTCTCAAACTATCACTCATTCTATTTGATGTGAGTGGTAAATATTACAGCTATCGACTACTGTGTCAAACAATGGCAGTTACATGTAATTTATCTCACAGCAGAGGACTTGTAAATCAAAACTATCAAATGACTCAACTGTTGTGCCATAAATCAACATTTAAGTATAAATTTCTTCATTTTCTTTTCAGATGACCAATCAGTGACCGAGCCCTGAATGTCATTCACCCTTCATCAACAGTGCAATACGTGTCTACCCAACACCCCTTTCATTCCAAATGGACTAGTCTTCCTGTTCTTGCCAAAAAGTCCATTTTATTTTATTGCAACATTTACCAGTGATATTATTCCTGTATTGTGATGCAACGTTTATGTGTTAAAAGTTCCGTACTTTATTGATTGTGATATTAAGTGGACACTTCCATTATTAGCAGAGGGGTGTTCAGTGACAACAGGTGTTGGATATAATAATGAATGGCGATTGGTGCTTTATAGGAATGTAATGCATGCACATCTAGCGCAGTGCTGCTCCGAGCTATCCATCATTATCACCCCAAGGAAGAGTTTTGATAGCTGCAAACCGTTCAACTATACCACCTAGCTTGACAGCTTTCAGTAGATTTGGAACTATTGGCAAACTAAAGGGTAAACAGTTTGTTTATTTAAAGAGTAAACAGTTTGTTTATGTAGATGTCATAATTCCAGCTGTGTAGATTTTATGATTTTCACTAAATTTTGGATAATATTAAAGGTAAGAGGTGAATAATGCATGCTCTTTGAAACTGTCCTGCGTGATTCTCTAGTAGATATTTAGGATATAGGTTCTTACTTTTGTTTATATGGGTAAAAATCTCCAAATTTGGTTTTTCAAGGAATACATTTTGTATGATATAAGAAGAGTGTCCTATCAATTTCTGCTAACTGAGAATTATCGAAATACTTCAAATTCATAACGGCAAACCAGTTTTTGTCGAAAAGTATCAAACATCGTTCGTTTATTTTCAACATGGAACAACAGATAAGTGACGAAATGACGGAACCGGATCAAGATGAGATTCATGAGATTATGGTGCAGAAGGCCACGGAACTGTTCAAAGTTTGTGATAAAGAGGAAAATGGTGTTATTTCTAAACGGGATATGCAACGCCTGCGGAGTGAGCTCCCCTTGTCTCCTGAAATGTTGGAGGAGGTCTTTGATTCATTAGATGTCGACGGAAATGGATTTCTTACTCTTCAGGAATTTATTGATGGATTTGGTAAGTAAATTCATTTTGTGAAATTCCAGTACTTTTGTATCATATGCAGAATAATGTCCCTTGGATGTGCCAGGATAATATGATCATGGGTTTAAGTTTAGTCTCATTATGATTCTGTCAGCACCATCAGTAGTGTCACCAAAGTGGATACACCACAATGTTGTATCACTTTTGGGCCAGCTTTCCACATTTAGTCTCTATGCTATGATATAACTGAAATTATGTTTTAAGGATCGCTGAAATAATGGTCGCTGAAATCAGTCTGACTTTATATATGGTCAGCAGTATTTCTTTATAGTTCAGAGACCCATGAAGATCTGGGTTAGAACTGATCCTCAGTAACCCATAATCGTCCTAAGAGGTGACTAGCGGGATCGGGAGTCAGGCTCGCTGACTTGGTTGACACATGTCATCGTATCCCAATTACCTAAATCGATGCTCATGCTGATCACTAGATTGTCTGGTCCAGACTCAATTATTTACAGACCGCCCGCCGCCATATGGCTGGAATATTGATGCAGAGCGGCGTAAACCTAAACTCTCTCAATTATTTGTAGTTCAAGTGAGCTACAGAGCCTTGTGGTTTTTCTTTTGGGATCATTAATGTAATTGTATATATTGTTGTGCACAGTTACTTCCCTTAGGCATGCTAGGATGCTATGAACATGATGAATGTGAGTTTGAATCCCATTTTGCCTGATTCGGTAACATTAATTTACCAGAAGATTATATCTGATCTGAAATGAGAAATACGTTTCCAGGTTGACCTTGTTTACAGAAATGTTTTACATATTCATAACAAATAAGCTTCATCCATATTGTGGAGTTATATTTTATTTGCTGCTTCACTTGTGTTTTTGTTTTTTTAGAATTGTTTCTGTTGCTAAGTGTGGGTTTTATCACAGCTGAATCCCATTTCTGTAATTGATGAAGGGCAGGAAGCCCAGTGGTTAAACCGTTGACTTGTCACGGTGATTACCTGGGTTTGGTGAGCTACACTAGTACAATGTGACATGCTAATTGTTGTAGTTTCTGTGTTGTCATATTGCTGAAATATTGCAAAAGCAGCATAAAATCCAAATCTCTCTCTCTCTCCTTCCTTCTCCCCATTCTTTCCCTCTTCTCTCCCTCTCTCTACCTTTCATTCTCTCTCTATCTTTCCATTCCTCCCCTCTCCTTTTCTTTCCTTCTGTCTGTCTCACTGTATATCTCTCTCTCTTTCTCACACTCTCTCACACACACACACACAGACAGACACACACATGAAGTCCGTGATTCTCTTCAATGTTAATGTCAATACGAAATTGATATTACAATCAGATCTATTGCAATGATACAATACTTGTCAGGTTACATCAGGTGAACTTTCTAATCAGCCAATCAGTGATTATGTTGCAGTATGGCATCTGGGAAAATATATCTGTTATAGTTTAGAATACCTGATTGCAAAAATGTTTTGGATATTTTGTCCATCATGCTGATTCTGAGCATCATAGCTTTCTCACCTGGAAGGATAAAGTATTTAGTATTCATTTGTGCTGACTATGTCATTTTCCTATGGCTAAAATCAAAATTTCAGGATCAAGTCAGTGATTGGATGAAGCCAAATTGTTTTCAAAAGTTCTAATGTAATTGGATCAAGAAACCATACTTCTTTTAGTTTGATTGAGTTGTCAAGTTTTCATTGCAACATGACTCTTTTATTGAGTTGTCTTCAAACCTTGACCTTGTATCCAAGTAAAAGATCTGATTTCAAGGAAATTTGAACCCGATTACACATAGGTTACTTTTTACACTTTCTCAAGTCACTTCGTTTAAAGTTTAAAACATTGTAGATCTGTGAAGGTCCAGGTTAGAATAAATCTACAGTAACCCAAGCTTGTCGTAAGAGGCGACTAACAGGATTGGGTGGTCAGGCTCGCTGACTTGGTTGACACATGTCATCATATCCCAATTGCGTAGATCAATGTTAATGCTGTTGATCCCTGGATTATCTGGTCCAGACTCGATTATTTACAGACCGCTGCCATATAGCTGGAATATTGCTGAGTGTGGCATAAAACTAAACTCACTCACTCACTTATAAGCATTGTACCAAACAAAAAAGCTGGGATTTTACTTGAAAAATGCAAAATGAGGACTGTCTTTTCTTACTTAATAACCCCGTTGCGATATAGTTGGAATATTTCTGAGTATGGCGTAAAACTAAACTCACTCACTTCATAGCCTCGTCCAAGTGAAGTTTGATGACACTTTGGATATTTCAGCAATTTTCCAGCAGCAGACGTCAGTTTTAGTACAGTATCTGCAGTAGGAACTTGTCTGCTTGCTGGACTCACCTGTCCGGCTGTCTCTTGAATCATCCATATTATGTGTCTGTGATTGACAGAAAGAATTAGGATGAAAATGGATAAAGTGTCTGTCAAGCGTGAACCATCAAATCCGTCCGAAAGGAAAACTCACAGTTTTCGGCGTAAAAAATTACAGGCCCTGCATCGTATGTATAACCAGTAGATGCAGCTGACTTACTCTAATACATGAATGCTGTATTCGTGTCTGCTGTATGTCTGAGCACTGTATTCGTGTAGTTTGCCTTCGTGTATGCTGTTTTTCCAACTGCTGTATTAGTGAACCCTGTAATTGTGTATTATCAAAGCATATCTTGTGTTAGCAAAATTTGAGACTCTACTAATTATCAAAGCATATCTTGTGTTAGCAAACTTTGAGTCTGTACTAATTATCAAAGCACACCTTGTGTTAGATAAATTTGAGACTGTACTGATTATCAAAGCATATCTTGTGTTAACTAACTTTGAGACTGTACTAATTATCAAAGCACACCTTGTGTTAGATAAATTTGAGACTGTACTAATTATCAAAGCATATCTTGTGTTAGCTAAATTTGAGACTGTACTATTTATCAAAGCATATCTTGTGTAAGCTAAATTTGTACTCATTATCAAGGCAAAGTTTGTTTAAGCTAAAGCTATAATTGTGAATGTTAACTGCTTTATAGCCAGAGAGAACAGCACAGGTATTCTTTGTTAAAGCTTATCAATGCCTATGCTCGTGAAGCTATCTTGACAACTGCTGTCTTGTTGCTGAAGTTTGCTCACCGCTTATCGCCTTGCGCTTAGTATTTAGATAGGAAACATTTCATCGTATTGTGGATCAGGTAATGATTATAAGTTACATACTTTTGCTTTTGAAATCACAAATATTGCAAATTTGCTTTTTGTGCCTTTAGTTTTGTTTCAGTTTTTCAATGTTGAATTCATTTTGATTATGTTTATGATACATTCATACATACAAAAACACACACACATACATACATACACACACACATGCATGCAGAGCTCCAGATAAGATTTAGCTCATGTGGGTACTGTACCCACTGTATATTTTTGGAGTGGGTATTATGAATGTTGAGTGGGTATTTCATTTTCCGTTACCCACTGCTTTCATATATGTGCGTATTTCAGTCATTTTACTCACCTAAGTATTATGTCATTGAGTAAGTTTACTAAGCAGGTATGTTCTGCCTTATGTCATACCTAATCAAAACCAACTTATATGTAATGGAAATCACTCATCCTATACTGACAATACAACACTTGTCCTAAACTAACAGTACAACTTGATAGCATTCGAGGTCATTTTCATAACGCATGCGATTTTTATAAATATATGCCGTACGCATTTGTTTTAAACTTTTTGCGTATCTAACATTTTGAATGCGTAATTGGTACGCAACAATTATTTTTCAATGCGTAAATGGAAATTTTTTATGCATATTTTACCCGGATATGCAGCTTATCTGGGCCTCTGCATGCATGTATATATATTATATGTGTGTAGTGTTATGTAACTGGTAAAAGAGATAGCATCACGCCGGTGCTTCCTTCATGGGGATAAGGATTAGAATTGGTCCCAAGGAACTTATTCTGTTCATAAAAGGTACATGCCACTCAGCACTGTCTGTTTGTGACAAATAACCTCATACAGCCACTATGTGAAACGTGTAAGTTTTATGAATAAATTAAAAACCAGTCCACTTATTGAAATATATTTTCATTCTGCAGTTCATGTTTGCATTAGCTACAGAAACCATGATTCAATATCATGCACGATATGTTTCATTAATTTTCAAACCAAATTACACAATATTGATTTTCTGTCATGTTACCCGCAAACATACACAATGAACTCTTTATGTAAAACTCCATGTTTGAAAATTGATCAGAATTGACATTTTAGTTGTATTAGTTTTTCAACATTTTATTTTTGTCATGAATTGTAAAACTTCATATGAATATTATTTCTGGTTGTGATTATTCACTGATCTGTGGAGGATGTATTGCCGATGTGATGTTACATATCAACTCACTCACTCTATAGGATGGCATGAGAAGTGATGATGATTTTTTTATGTACAAACCATGTTGTTTCTATTTCCTGCATCAAAGACATGAAGAATATGTTCTGTGTGTCAAGCTGATCTATTGAGACAGATCGACAGCCACAAATGTCTCCCAATGTGACAAAACACATCAGCTCCAACTGCCATGTTCCTGAGATTATTATCATGCTCATTCTGGGCTGGCATCTGATGTGAGAAGCCCCTCAATCTGTATAATAACACATCGTTTTATGTATGTTAATGGCTAGCAATTTATGTTTTTCCACAATGTGAGCTGAGCTGGGAGAGAGTGTTGGAATTCCAGATCAGGAAAGTTTGGTACATTTGGTAAAATTTCTTCTCTGTTTAATGTCAGGTGGTCACAATGTGTGACTGATCTCAATAACAATGAATCTTAGCTCACAATGTCAACCACTAGTTTGCTGGAACTAGACTTTATAATTGCAGGCTGCCGTACAACTGATTATTGACAGTTTTGTTTCTCTAATCCTGCCCTCAGTCTGTCAATACTGACCCAGATAGCATTCAATAATGAAGTCAGCGTTGAATAACGTTCAATGCCAGACCAGACAATCCAGTGGTTGATATCATGACCAACAATCTATCCTGGATTCCCCGCAGGTTTTGTGTTTAAGTATGTCAGCTGTAAATAGTTTCATTTCCTGATGTCACCGATCCAGGTCCTGTACTTCCTGGTGAGGTTCCTGTGGGTCAGGCGTAACTCTTGTGGCCTCTGTGCTGTTCCAGGCAGTTTCTTGGGGATGAAGCCAGCAGGGACGTCGTCGATGGAGGAGGAGGAGGGTGATGAGCGGGTTTACGAGGACGAAGATGATGGCACCAATTCTGTGGAGGTGGAGAAACACTTCCAGGAGATGATGTCCAATGTTGGCGCCAAAAGATTCTTCCATGAGTAAGTTGAGATTATTTTTGATTTCTGTGCCTCTAGGATGTTTGACATAGTGCCAAGGCGTTATGACAAGAAAGGTGCGTCTATTATATCAAGATGTTCATTTCACATGTGGGTATTCAGTATGGCAGCTGGGATGTATCGCTTACACTAATGTCCCGCCTCCATGGTTAGAGCGTCCTCCAAGAGAGCGGAAAGTTGCGGGTTTGCTCCCCGGCCGCGTCATACCAAAAGACGATAAAATATGGTACTTGTTGGTCCCTGCCTGGCTTTTGGCATTAATGGGTACAAGAACTGGTCGGCTCGGAGTCAGTTACATGATCAAGGTGTGTTTATCAAATAATCATGATAATTTCTGTAAACCAATATGTTTACCTGTTTTTAGGATAAAAGACCACCCTGATCAAAGTGTATTTGCAACATAATCATGATAATATCTGTTAAACCAATATGTTTACCTTAGTTTAGTAATCACTGACATGGTCAAGGTGTATTTACAACATAATTATGATAATTCTGTTAGACCAATAAATTTACCTCAGTAACAACAACCCGATCAAGGTGTATTTACAACATAATTATGATAATTTCTGTTACACCAATATGTTTACCTGTTTTCAGAAAACACCCACCTGTTCAAGGATTATTTACAACATAATCATGTTAATTTCCTAAAAATGTTTTTCTCAGTGCTGTGCAATGGATCTGAATTGCCTATAATATATCTATACCTCAAAGTATCACAGAATGACAAATTTTATCATTCATTTTCAATGATCTGGCAACATCTGGGAAGGTGTACAGCCGGCTGCCGTCTCATGCATTCACTGAGCCTGACTGGTCATTACAATCACCCTAGCCATTGTCCTTGTACTGTTCCCACTAGGTGGGACAGGCACAACCAGGAATATTGTGTCACTTCTTTGAGTGGCATTTTTAGTTGGTGTGATGAACAACGAGGAGAGTTCTATGGATATACAACTTCATAATATACTACCCATCAAAAGTTCAGACTCACTAGTGTAAATGACTAGCCACTTACTTCTGTCAACTGTTCTAAACTAGATTTTGCAAAATATTCTATACTGTTTAAAGGTACTGTTTACACATGAACTGATGTATTGTACAACAAATTCGTAGCGTTGAAAAGATTATTGTCATGAGTTCAATAAATGATGAAACGCAGGGAAAACGGCGAATTCTTATCAAAACTTTACACCAAAACGCAGCTGTTCACATGCACAATATTTTCACATGCTTTTCAGCAATTTGACGCATGATCCTCATCTGCATAAGGTTTGCAGTTGGTTCCCCCAAGTTAGTGGAGAAATTCATCCTCGAATCTGTAACGATATATATATACATAACATATAGTGGGTGCTTTAAGTGAGTCTAAACTTTTGATGGGTAGTATATTATTGCTTGATAACGGTGTTAGTAGCTACACCGAAACATCGCTCATTTCAAAATTTAAGTTTTATATCCATAGAACTCTCCTTGTTGAATGTTGTGTCCCTCTGTCCGTCAACTCAAAGACCTTAAGACTGACTGACTGAGTTTGGTATTACGCCGCTTTTAGCAATATTCCAGCAACATCACAGTGGGGGACACCAGAAATGGGCATCACACATTGTGCCCATGTGGGGATTCGAACCCGGGTCTTCGGCGTGACGGGCCAACGCTTTAACCATTAGGCTACCCCACCGCCCCCAAAGACCATAAGAAACATGTAACTTTATGTTATAACTGTATGGATAACAACTTGTTATTGCTTGACACATCATCCAAGTTATATGTTTTTGTTATTTTCTCACCATCTCCTAGAATGTCAATGGTACACTCACCTATTCATGCTTGGTCAAACTTTACCATTTATGTTTAGGTATGCTGTGTCACTGAGGAAGTTTGAATATTATATTTTTTTCTGTTCAACTTATTCGACCAGAGTCAAAGGAGGATGGGTTTCTTTCTGAAGAATAACTAAATAACATTCAATATTTTCTGCTCAAACAATGTATCAATATAGCCATGAATATATCTGCTGCTATGTAGAATTTTGTCCCTTGACAATGAATTCCAATTGATGAACCAATGATTGGTATGTTTCTCACCTATAGTACAAGTGATCAATTACTTTGTCTTATTTGGAATGTTTTGTCTTTTATATTTGTTTTCCATTCCATTGAAACAAATGCTTAACCGCAGTGCATTTACTGGTAACTCCAAGTAGTCATCTTAAATAGTAAATACAGTGAGTGAGTGAGTGAGTGAGTGAGTTTAGTTTTATACCGCACTCAGCAATATTCCAGCTATATGGCGGCGGTCTGTAAATGATCAAGTCTGGACCAGACAATCCAGTGATCAACAGCAAGAGCATCGATCTGCGCAATTGGGAACCGATGACATGTGTCAACCAGGTCAGCGAGCCTGACCACCCGATCCCATTAGTCGCCTCTTACTAGTAAATACAGAACATCAAAGCGAGAAAATAATCTCAAGCCAGTCTCAATTTTCTGTTGAAACAGATTCCGAACAGAAATCCATCCCATCTACAAGGGTACAAAATGGCAAGAGTACCTGTCAGGTGGGACCCTGATTATGAAGATCCGAGTTGAACTTAGTGCTGTTGTACAAAGCAATCTTCGTGCTAAGGTGACTGTAACTCCCATACCTTAACATAGACTTAAGGTAGTCTTAGCGCTAAGGTTGTTTTGTACAACAGCACTCTGGTCTTCAGCAACCCATGCTTGGTGATCAGGCTCGCTGACTTGGTTGACACACGTCATTGTATCCCAATTGCGTAGATTGATGCTTATGCTGTTGACCACTGGATTGTCTGGTCCAGATTTGATTATCTACAGACTGTCGCCATATAGCTGGAATATTACTGAGTGCGGCAAACAAACAAACAAACCTGTTGGGTGGTAGTGTGGTCTTTGTCTTTCTGTGTCTTTGAGAACAAGTCCAAGGCACTTTGGACATGAACATTTCACTAGAGGGGATATGAGTACATGTATTTCATGCTTGTTGTCTGTTCACCTGGGACCCTGAATAATCTTTGTCAGTTGGCCTTTTACAATAGTAACTCTTTATCTCTATTGTAATCTTGGGGCGCGTGGGGTAGCCTAGTGGTTAATAAAGCGCTCGTTCATCACACTGAAGGCCCGGGTTCGATTCCCCATAATGGTACAATGTGTGAAGCCCATTTCTGGTGTCCCCCGCTGTGATGTTGCTGGAATATTGCTAAAATTGGTGTATAACATACAATCTTAGCTCCTTAGTCTCTGGTGTAGTGGTTAGAGCATCCGTCCAGAGAGCGGAAGGTCGCGGGTTCGATCCCCGACCGTGTCATACCAAAGACGTTAAAATATGGTACTTGTTGGTCGCTGCCTGACGTTCGGCATTAATGGGTACAACAAGGACTGGTCGGCTCAGAGTCAGTATAATGTGTCTGAGTGGGGTATTCATGCTTCACTGCGGCATGGTATCTCAGCGAGCTAGCACTACATAACCAGCTTCAGTCTGGGCTAGTACAAGCAGCCGCACATACACATACACACTCATGCACGTCTTCATACGAGCGAAATATTCTCCAGCACCACGTTAAACCCAATTTCACCTCACCTCACCTCACCTTAGTCTCATCACCAGGCTCTTGCACCCCTTCACAACATAATGTTTGGGATCATGTTGAAATTAAATGTAAAACAAACAAATATAATATATAATATTTTAATTGTTATCACTGAAGTACTCATTGCAAATGAAAACTTTGTTTCGCTCAAATACAGTCAAGTCATATTGTTAATTAGCCTGAAACAAACTGAATTTGGGTTCCAATATATGCCACTTAAACAGTCGTAGTGTTGTAGTATATTTAAGGACTGCTGAGCATTAATGGCTATCGATAAGCTGCTATTAATATCCGGATGTATAAGTTTCATTGCAGTGCATGTGAGATGTAGGTTGCCAGTCTCCACAAACATAACTGTATATCAGGTGGAACTAGGTCATGTAGACAGCTGTAGGCAACATGACTTGCTATGTACAATATGACTTCATTATGCTGTGTAAGGGCCTGTGATTGGGAGGGCTTGGCCCCAACTGAGGATATGGGACACTTGTATGATGCAAGGCCCTGCTAGATCAATATGCACTTATACATCTAGATGTCAGCATATGTATTGAGGGGATAGATGGGAGGGGAGAAGTTATTCGTGACATATTGTCTATATTGTACACACTGCTGTTGTTATGTTTAATTAAAATGTTCATATATATTAGCCAGGTGCATTATTGCCGTACAGTAGCCAAAACATTATGTATGGATTACTTAACAAAAGGCTGAGGCAATCCTCCCAGACTAGGTCATTCTCCCAGTATCAGCAGAGACCATATCTCTATTATATGGTCTCTGGTATCAGGGAAGGAGTTGACCATTTGACCTTGGGTTGCCTTTAGTTGACCTTGGGTTGCCTTTGGTTGACCTTGAGTGGATCTCAGTGGAACAGGTAGCAGTGAGGCTCAGAGACTGTGTTGGTTGTTGTCATGTCCATGTGTGGATTGATGTTCATAATATCAATCACCGGATTGTGTAGCTATAGTATTGCTGACTGCATTAAACAACAAAACTCAATTTGACTACAACGTCTAATCTTTGAACTGATTTTACACCAGGATTCCAAGAGCAGTAAATGTAACCCAGTATTTGAACTTGACTATTTTTCAAAGAAGCTGAATGCGTAAAGTATTTATAAACATATTAAATGATTAACATAGGACAACAGTTATCAATCACCTATTAATATTACATGCAGGGTCTTACTTTGAATAAACAGTACTTTTCAAGCTACCTAATTATCTTTCCAAAATATTGCTTGAATAATGTTGAAAATGATTATACTGGGCACATATCACATTGATTAGTATTTCAGTTGCCTAAGCAAGATGGACTAATGAGGAATGCCCCAGTGATGACTCCTAGTGGGCAGAGCTCCAGTGGGCAGAACTGCTGTGGGCAGAGCTCCTGTGGGCAGGACTCGTAGTGGCAGAGCTCCAGTGGGCAGAGCTACTAGTAGCAGAGCTCCAGTGGGCAGAGCTCCTGTGGGCAGAGCTCCTAGTGGCAGAGCTCCAGTGGGCAGAGCTCCTAGTGGCAGAGCTCCTGTGGGCAGAGCTCCTAGTGGGAAGAGTTCCTGTGGGCAGGGCTCCTAGTGGCAGAGCTCCAGTGGGCAGAGCTGCTGTGCGCAGAGCTCCTGTGGGCAGAGCTCCTGTGGGCAGAGCTCCTAGTGACAGAGCTCCTAGAGGGCAGAGTTCCTGTGGGCAGGGCTCCTAGTGGTAGAGCTCCAGTAGGCAGAGCTCCAGTCGGCAGAGCTCCTGTGGGCAGAGCTCCAGTGGGCAGGGTTCCTGTGAGCAGAGCTCCTGTGGGCAGAGCTGTTGTGCACAGAGCTCCTGTGAGCAGAGCTCCTAGTGGGAAGAGTTCCTGTGGGCAGGGCTCCTAGTGACAGAGCTCCTAGAGGGCAGAGTTCCTGTGGGCAGGGCTCCTAGTGGCAGAGCTCCAGTGGGTAGAGCTCCTGTGGGCAGAGCTCCTAGTGGCAGAGCTCCAGTGGGCAGAGCTCCTGTGGGCAGAGCTCCAGTGGGCAGGGTTCCTGTGAGCAGAGCTCCTGTGGGCAGAGCTGTTGTGCACAGAGCTCCTGTGAGCAGAGCTCCTAGTGGGAAGAGTTCCTGTGGGCAGGGCTCCTAGTGACAGAGCTCCTAGAGGGCAGAGTTCCTGTGGGCAGGGCTCCTAGTGGCAGAGCTCCAGTGGGCAGAGCTCCCATGGGCAGAGTTCCTAGCGGCAGAGCTCCTAGTGGCAGAGCTCCTAGTGGGTAAAGCTCCTGTGGGCAGAGTTGCTAGTGGGCAGAGCTCCTAGAGGGCAGAGCTCCTATGTTTAACCCAATATCTTTATTTTGCATTATCTTTAACCTACAAATAAAATACTGTAACAGTTCAAAAAAATTAAAATGAAAAATTGCAGATTTGGAATTTCAATATGTTTCCATTCTGTTTACCATTGTAACAGCTTTGTCCCATAAATCATAGGACATAATTGTAAGGGACTGAATCTATTGATATTTTAACCTCTATTGAAGAAGTGAGAAACAAAACCCATTAATCAACCAGTCGAATGGCTTTGAAGGTTATAACCTCCCTGGCTCAGCTACGGGTTAGCATTGATCTTCAGCAACACATGCTTGTTATAAGAGACGATGTACAGGATCAAGGGATGAGGCATGATGGCTGTGTCACTGCATGTCATTGTATCAGTTGTAATGCTCATGATGTTAATCACTGGATTGTCTGGTCCAGATTCCATCATTTTGCAGGAATAAACATCAAACACAGACTTGTCAAGCTGGAATAAACAGCAAATAAAAACTTGTGTCAAACTGGAATAAACAGCAAACAAAAACTTGTGTCAAGGTGGAATAAACATCAAACAAACAAAGACATATGTCAAAGTGGAATAAACATCAAACAAAGACATATGTCAAAGTGGAATAAACATCAAACAAAGACATATGTCAAAGTGGAATAAACATCAAACAAAGACATGTGTCAAAGTGGAATATGATTTTCATTTATGAAACTAATGATTAGTTTGATAGAATGTATCACATGTTCTGAATTTATTTTGTTGGCTTTAGTAATTTATGACTAATTAATCAATCCATATGGCAGGTAATACTGACATGATCGCTGTACGACCCCAGTCATGTAGAACCATCCTCTGCTATATGGGCATGGCTGGTGATATAATAACCATTTTGGCCAGCTGACGATCAACACAGGATGTATATGTCTTTCTGAGTGCAAGATAAACAGTTGATTACATATGTTACACAATGACACAGCTGTGCTTAGGGATGAGCTGTATTGATTATCATTCATGTACGAAATCAGCATGGCATTTCATGGGGAAGTTACGATGAACACAGGTGGAAATATGATAAATATGAAATCGTTTATGTTCATGTAAATCTTGGTTTGAGGTTATTTAATTTGAAGATGAAAGAAAATAGATCATGTTTGTGATGTTACTTTTGTCTGTCCTCTGCAGGAAATTGTATCATGGTTATGAAGAACCAGGATTGATTTGTAGCATGTTTAACCCAAGTCATCTGATGGTTAAATTACTGTTCATGTTTGCCAAAAATATGACTTGTAAGTTCCATGGAAAAAGCCAAAGAGGGATGGATTCCGGCTAAAACTGTAGTTTCTTGCATAACTCCATGTGGTGTGTCATGGAACAATGTTTCTCTTACACACTAAGGGACCGTCATAATTTAGGTGGGGGGAGAGAAAGGGGTGATGATGATTTTAAGGGGGTCACCCATTTTGTTCTGGGGAGGTAGGGGGTCAGCTATTTTGTACACAAGTTTCTTGGGGGGGTCAGCAATTTTGTACATATGGATATTTAAAAATGTGCTTAAAAAAAAAAAAAAGGGGGGGGGGGCTCACTTACGTTGTACATAAATTTTAGGGGGGTCATTCACATTGTACATGCTTCTCCATAAAAATCATCATCACCCCCCTTAGCCATAAATTATGAACGGTCCTTAAAATTGAAGTTTAAACTTAATGATTCAGATGTGTTAAAAATATGCAATGAACTTATTTTTTTAAAAGATGCAGCTGAAATTGCATGGGTGAGGTCTTATGCCAGGCCAAAGTATTTATAAAAGGTTTCTGGGTGTTTTTGCTTGATATGAAATTTATTAATCATCATATTTCACCAAACAACTATGTTGAGGTCTGTTTTTCTTAAATACACAATGACTGTTTTCTTGCCCCCATTTCTTGCATTTTTTCAGTCATATGCAAAGCAAATGTAGGTAAATTTACGTACAGTGTCTTATGGAAATCACATTGGTTAAACATCACTCAAAATAAATGGTGATGTCAGTATTGCATATTCAAATAAGACAGGTCGTGTCAAACAGTCATGTTTATTGTGTGAATCCAGCTGATGGCATATTCAAATGAGACAGGTCGTGTCAAACGTTCAAGGTCATTGTGTGAATCCAGCCTATGGCATATTCAAATGAGACAGGTCGGGTCAAACAGTCATGTTCATTGTGTGAATCCAGCCTATGGCATATTCAAATGAGACAGGTCGTGTCAAATGATCAAGGCCATTGTGTGAATCCAGCCGATGGCATATTCAAATGAGACAGGTCGGGTCAAATGGTCATGTTCATTGTGTGAATCCAGCCTATGGCATATTCAAATGAGACAGGTCATGTCAAACAGTCATGTTCATTGTGTGAATCCAGCTGATGGCATATTCAAATGAGAGAGGTCAGGTCAACCAGTCAAGATAGTCAGGTTCCAAACGATAATATACTATTGACTACAACTTTTGAAAGTAAATAAGGGATGATATCTAATTAATAATATCTGCTATCCTAGACATTTTCATTGCAGACACTGTTTGGGCTGTAGGAATAAGGAAGGTACCGTAGCCTGGTGTTTAAAGTGTTTGTACGTTACGCCAGAGAGCTTTGTTCGATTCCCCACATGGGTACAATATGTGAAGCCAAATTCTGGTGTCCCCTGCCATCATATTCCTTGAATATTGCTAAAAGTGGAGTAAAACCTCTTTCACTCACTCACCCACATTTGACGGTGAACTAAATCCAGTTGTACTGCTGCTAATCTGATTCCTCATATGGATTGTTTGTGTTCGACCAATCATAATTCCAAATTTATTTTCCTCCCCAGTGACGACACAATCAAGGCATTATGGGTAAAGCTTCGTGCAGATGAGCCGGAACTTCTAGGGGATTTCGAGGACTTCCTGATCCGAGTAACCAACAACATCAAACAGTCCCAGAACGACTTTGACAGTCTGGAAACAGCTCTCAGGAGGTACGTCTAACATAAGACCCACCGAAACATAACTTTGTATGGTTTGAAACAAACACAACAACAGCAATAAGTGCACACACAAAAGCTAAGATCTTTGTTGTCAATGCACAATGTTATTTAGAAAGTGGTGAAATGTAACACATGCTATATTTGGGATTACACTTTCTTAGTAAAGTACAGATTCTAGTACTCTTTTGGTTGAGTCCCATCTGGGAATTGAACCCACACCCACACCCACACCCACACCCACACCCACAGAATCAGGCACGTAATTGCCAGCACAGGACTCAACCCAACAAAAGTACTTGAATCTACTTTACTAAGAAAGTGTCATCCCAAATATAACATATGTTACATTTGAACAATATATAAATGGCATTGTGCAATCATAGCTTTCGGCTGTGGGAGCCGTGCCAATTTACACTTATCAGAGGGGTACACAAAGTCCGCAGTCTAGACTACCAGTTGTCCGACTTCCATTTTTGTGGAAGTCACAGTGGCTGAGCGGGTTAGGCGGCACACTTTATGTGGTGGCGATTAGGTGCCTGACTCTGACGGTGTGGGTTCAAATCCCGGATGGGACTCAACCCAAAAGTACTAGAATCTTTACTCTTTTGTACTTTACTAAGAAAGTGTAATCCTAGATATAACATACGGTATGTTACCTTTGTTGTCTTCTAAAATGGCAATCAGTAACCTGTAGGGGGACCATTATGTTTAACGTTTTGTCGAATCACTATTGATGCTATGTACGCTTTGAGATACCGTACACAAGAAATATCTCACAATCAGACTTGAAAAGAAGCCATGATGGTGGATGGGTCCAGAGTGAATATTATTATAGTTATTATGATAGAATAAAGTATAATAATAATTGACACCTCAAGGTATAAGTATTCGGACGGTCAGTTGTCATAACAACGGACAGGTAAGGAAACAATAGCACTTCCTTGGACCTGTTGATGTGATGGCAGACACGGCCAAGGGGGATGACCAATTAGGGTTTTAAATGTCATATACAGTAATTAATGAAAGTCACAGAGTGGTGCAGGGTGGCTGACAAGTCAATGTACAATGCGGTAGTGGTACGGATTAAGGCTGCAGATTAGTGTCATAAATAATTACAATTAAGTTCCACTTGGCTACATAGGTTTTGGTTTCTAGTAATATTTGCATTATGGCTATCCTGAATTAATCGCTATGACAGTGCACACGGTGTAAATTCACTTTGCAGTTTAATGCAAAGTAGCATACCCATTTTTAGATCTGTACTTACATATATGCAAAAACACATTGAAATGTTCTCTTTTAACATTAATATGCACATCTTAAAACTAAAACATTGAAAACTAAAAAGCAATGTTGTAAAATTTGTTCAAAAACTCTTTATTCGACACCTGAGTTTTTCCATCAACTCTCCATAGTCGGTCCCATCTTGTGAATTCAGATTGACTGGACAGCAGAATCAGAATGTCACCTGCCTGAAATGATTATGTCTTAACCACCTCAATTAAAAAATACCTGGAAAACATTTAAAACAAATGATTCAGTAACAGAGTCTCCATCTCACTCTCTTCTTTTTAAACAGTGTTGTATTTTCAAAGATTAAATGCTTGCCAAGTTCTGAAGATATATTGTCCCTCATTACATGAATTGACCGCCTCCGTGGTGTAGTGGTTAGAGCTTACGCTCGGAGAGCGGAAGGTTGCGGGTTCAATCCCCGGCCGCGTCATACCAAAAGACGTTAAAATATGGTATTTGTTTGTCCCTGCCTGGCGCTCGGCATTAATGGGTACAACAAGGACTGGTCGGCTCGGAGTCAGTATAATGTGTCTGAGTGGGGTATTCATGCTTCACTGCGGCATGGTATCTCAGTGGGCTAGTACTATAAAACCAGCTTCAGTCTGGGCTAGTACAAGCAGCCGCACCTACACATACACACGCGTGCACGTCATCATATGAGCGAAATATTCTCAAGCACGACGATAAACCCAATTTCACCTCACCTCACCTCTACAAGTACATATGTTAACAGGGGCGATGAGGTAGCCTTGTGGCTAAACCGTTCGCTTGTCACGCCGAAGACCTGGGTTTGATTCCCCACATGGGTACAATGTGTGAAGCCCATTTCTGGTGTCCCCCGCAGTGATATTGCTGGAATATTGCTAAAAGCGGCATAGAACCAAACTCACTCACTCTCTGATTACTTTGTAACAGTTTTGATGGTTGACCAGCAGTGTTATGGAAATTGTCAGGGTCAAAGGGAGAGAACTCCTCATGACTTGTTGAACATTGATTGTCCATAAAATCTCTCAGTCGTATTGTGCTTTTATACTTGAACTCTTACCTTCCGTGATTTGTTACATGCATACATTTTCATTACTCAGGTAATGGCTTTCATTTGTGAAATATTGTTTTGACCAGGAAACTGAGATATTTTCTGGTGTCCCCCGACAGTGATATTGCTGGAATATTGCTAAAAGCGGTATAAAACTAAACTCACTCATTCATACACTCCAAACCACTTCAATTTATAAAGTTACATGTTATTTGTTTTAATCAAAAGCATATATTGTTTCCATCTCTAATCATTTATTATCTCTTAGTGTCTGTGTTGTATATACTTCTATGTCTTGCGCTTTGAACAAAGTGTACATGGAAAACAGCGCATTACAAACATGCTATTATATCATATCTTAAAGCAATATGAAACTGATATCGCTATTAATTAAATCAGGGTTAGGGTTAGGTAACCCATAACCCTAGCCTTTTCTTCCAAAATAAAAATGGCAGGAATGATCAGAATTCTTCTCAAAAACTTAAAATAATGTCATGTTGGAGACCAGGTTGTAGTCTATATTTGAGGATGAAATAAGTTAAATTTTTCTTTTTGCATTCACTAATAGGGAGCGTCACACAAAGATATATCTGTTATGCAAGCTTGAATATTTATTGGAGTATCCCTGTCACCATGACAACCATTCAGAGTGCATACTCAAGTCTCTTTGAGTGACCCAGATAGCAGGCTATGTGGGCCTTCCCCTTTGCTTTATGACATCTGTTGTCTTAGTGTATATCGCTGAGGTTAAGTGGAGTTCCTCCAGCAGGTCTGCTCAACTAGCTGCCCCGCCCTTCTTTCAACCATGATGTGAGTCAAGCTTGGTGACCTCCTCAGGTCAATGTGTTTGGGGGAAGCTACTAGCCTTGCAACAAATGTCATTTCAGATTTAAAAATAGTTTGACATTTTTTTCATATTTGGACTTTGTAGTTTAATGTTAAAATTTTTTAAACCTTAGAAAGAGCTATTGTTTGCATGTCTTCATGTGTCGGATATATGAACAATGAGTTGTCTGCCCCTGAGTTTAGAAGTCTTCAAGCGTTGGTTATATGAACAGTGGGTTGTCTGCCCCTAACAAAGCCAGACAAAGTGACTGCATTCATTAGAAATGTTGTACCACACACATAGTGTATGGGGTGAGTCTCAAAGTCGTAGGTGTCCCAGTTGTTCAAGATGCTACATAATGATTTCGCTTTCTTGAGTTGTGTCCTTCAGCTTGCCCGAAACTTAGTAACAGTCCATTGGTTTCTCGATTTGTCTGCACAATACCCGTACTTGGTGGTGTCACCAAAGTGAGTGAGTATGGTTTTACGCCGATTTTTAGCAATATTCCAGGAATATCATGGCGGGGGACAGCTGAAATGGGCTTCACACATTGTACCCATGTGGGGAATTGAACCTGGGTCTTCAGCATGACGAGTGGATGCTGTAATAATTAGGCTACCCCACCGCCCCTGTTTCAACAAAGCTCGATATGAATACTTTCCCTGAGTGACATTGCGGACTGTAGATAAACTACACGCTATGTCTATGGGGTGAGTGTCCCAGTCGTAGATGTCGTAATTGTCTAAGGTGCCATACTTTGATGTGCTGATTTGTCACCCTAAACATGCCACATCTTGGGTTCGAATCCCAGTATGTGTCTGTCTCTGTCTGTCTGTTTTGAGGGTCTTGCCCACATCCCACAGTTTGCCATTGACACCCCATGTAGACAGTGTTCTGCCACCGAGCCACCCATCCGTGTTTCATCCCCTCATACTGAGACAAGTCAAGGTGACAACAAGTACCATTCTTTAACCTCAACTTCCACTCTTGGGGCAAATGCTCGGCACACTAAACATTAGGAATTATTTTTTCTTTCTCTCACCCTCAAAATAATATGCTACAGCAAAGCCTTCTACCTAATGGTAATAGTGGTTAAGCACAAATGTCACTTGCCCTCCCTAAATTTTACTTGTATCTAACCCCACTAATCATGATAGAAATTCAGGAAGCTAAATTTATTCAAATATTTATCTAACATACTACCCAGGGCCATCTTTCACAAAGCGATTATAGTTCTACGACTATCGTAACTCTATGTTAAAGTATGGGAGATACGATAGTCCTGGCGTTGTGATTGCTTTGTGAAATGCAGCCTAGCAGGAAATATTTGAGGCTATTTCTAGAGCCTGCAGCAAGTCTAGGTAGTGTCACTGTCCCATTGTGGTGACATGTGAGGTGAAAAACTCCTCTGCTTGCCTCATTGTAACCTCGTCTCTCGAGGGACCTGGCACTTCTCACCTGTATCACCTCAACAACAGGTAAGCCCTTTCATCAGTAGGTAACCTGATTACATAAGCCCAAGCGATGATGTAAATAACTGTTTGATTGGATCTCATCTTCAGTACAAAGTGTGTTGACAGGCTGTGAATGAATTCACCAGAGCACAGCGTTATATGATAGAGAAGGACATGAGCCGAATTGAAATATTTTAGACCTGTGTTATCAAGGAGATGCAGTTGTGTTAATGGGAGACAGGAGTTTTAGGGTGAACTAGAGATGTGTGTGTCAGAGAGGAAGTGGCAGGTCGTGTCGCACTGTAATCATGTATATATTCAGGATGTAGATAATTTATCAGTTTAGACCGATGGCCTCAGGGAATAATTTAAAAACTGGATA